TTAACGGCGGAGTCTTAATTAGGATTGAAAGTATTGGCGCCAGGTAATAAAAATTCGTTTATCGAGTTCAAGATATCTTTTTAATTTAAAATTGTTCTACAGATAGTAGTTTTATAACCACTATTGAGTTGGAGCTGTATATTACGTCTCATACGGCCCATATTAACTAATTAATTTAAAGACAATTTTATAAATTAATAACAATTAATGACAAAAGTATATATTGTTTAATTATGCGGAAATCTCTCTCAACGATATGATTTTCAGTTAACCAACATTCCATAAAATATATTAAAAATAATAGGATGAACACAAAACAATATTTCAATTTATAATTGATACATACTTCACTTATTGTTGACATTTTTCTTGTGTTTCCAAGTTTAATATTTATGAGACTTATTACAACAGGAGTTAGGTGTTTACCAGTGGCGGTTGTTGCGGGGCCTCTGGGCCGCCGCCCCCCCCCCCCTAGAAATTTTCACAGCAAAAAAATTTAATAATTAATGATTAAATAGACTAGCCTTATGAAACATATTAAAATGGAAATTTAACTCTACTTGTAAAATTCGTTTGCAAAACTCCTCGTAGCTCGTCTCTACATCTATAAAGTGTTTACAGTGGTGGTTATGGTTACCGCCGCGTGCGTTAGTGAATGAGTGGGAGTAGCGCATATTTACTATGCAATTTAGACTCTGTTTAGTCCAAACATAACCAAATAATAGTTATTCACCGCTTTTTTTCTTAATAAACGTAATTTGTTCAAGTGTGATGTAAAATTTTGTTACTTACATATTGTTTCTTATTAAAAAATTGTAAAAGTTTAAATTGATTGTAGCACTTGAAAAAATCTATGGTGCTAGAAATACCAAACTTTAATGAAAAAATTGAAAAGTTTACTTCGAACAAAAGCAGAATGAACTTTCAGTATAAAGAATAACGTTGAGTACATTTTACCTATATTTCTATAGTATCCAAATTAAAATTACCGACTTATATTTGATTTTTTTTTCATTACATTGTAGGTACCTAAATTTTCCCCCCTCCCTGGTCTGGAAGACAAGAGCTGCCACTTTTGTTCTTTGTCAATCATCCATCGTAAACTATGACTGTCGCCAACCACATGCAAAGGCAACAGTAGCAATCAACAAACAGTAGTAATAGCACTGAATAGAAAAGTACGACTAATCACAGACATGATCGAAAATACGATGTTTTATAGCGCCCAATTTGAAATATGTTACTACCCATCTTAAAAATACCATGTTACACTTTGGTTACATTAAAAAATTGACAAACACCTATTACTGGTGAGTGTGTATGGCAAATTATAAAAAAATTACGTATCTGATCTTGCTGAAGTTTTCTGTGCTTCGCTTCTAATAAACAAATGAAAACAACTTTGTTGAAATTTTATGAAAGTTTCTTGTTTAGTGGACATATTCTCAGAAAGTACATGTCTATATAAAGCAATTCCATATCACATAGGAATAATTGTGGAGCCCGATTGGTTTCCTCAAAGTCGTAAAGCGTCGGTGGGTGTCCCACACAAAATTAACACAAATACCGACTTGGTAACTTAGGCGGCCGTGATTTTACCGCCCTGGGCAACTGCCAGCCTCGCCGTCCCCTTCGAGCCGGCCCTGGGCTGTCGGCTAATAGTCGGACCCGACCAGAAAGGGTTCCGATGAATTCGAGGTTCCCAACCAATTTACTCCACCCTATTTTTAGATGATTGCCGATACCGACGGACGCCCCTCGAAAGTTCACCGTGGCCCGCAGAAAGTCGGCGTGGGACCCGAATCCGTGTCGAACCGTCCTCCGCTGGAAATTATCATTATCGAAATAAGAATAAGTACACGCTAATTTTATGGGAAAATAACAGACGTTTAAATCGTTCCGCGAATAAAGAAACAGCGAGTTGGGTACTTACCGGTAGAAGTATGCGGACGGACCCGTTGGAATATGGAGAAGCCACACCACATGTTCCAACTGTTTCGTAACTGAGAAAATGTCGTTTTTTAGCATTTAAAAGGGGCAAGTACTGAAAATGTGCAGTTAATAGGTGCTGGAGCTGAAGCTTCAGCCTTTCTTAGGAGGTGTAGAAATAAAAATAATAATGAATAATAATTATAAAGTCACTTATTTCCAACCTAGCCAGGAAAAATTAAAGCACACCGAGGAAAATCGACCAATAAGAAAGTTTTGCTGTGATAAACTGTATTAGAACAGCAATTTTTGTTATTAGTGTTAAAATATTATAAACCAAACTTAATCCTCAAAGGTCACACTAGTGCGAATTCGCACCACCGTATTCTTGAGCAGCTGGTATTTCTCATTGTGAGGTAGCAGAGCCGAGTCTGTTATCTGTTATTGTCGGCTAAACCAGAGAGTCTAGAAAGTCTGATCGGTGCGAATTCGCACTAGTGTGACTTTAGTGTGGGCAAAAATGAGGCTGAATTTATATCTGGAAATAAACTTCATTGAATTGCAAATTTACGATTTTTTTCACCTCATTTTACGTGTTGAATAGACTAGAACATTATTAACTGTCATTATTAATAATTTTTGAAAATTTTTTTTATTAATAGTTTAATTGTAACATGTATTTGTCAATATATATGGATAATATTGTTTAAATTAATATTTTTATACAAAACAGTACAAATTAAACATCAATTTACAGAAAAGGAGGCAAAAATCACATCAAAAAATGCCTATATTCGAGATACCGGGAAAAATCGATATCATTTTATCAATATAGACATTGAACTAAAATTTTTTTTTTACTTTTTCCTTAACCATTATTTATAAAAAATACGAATTTTTTAGTCATTTTTCGGAAAATGTTTTTTTCAATCGTACCTATATTTTATTAACAAATAATTTTTTTCTAATTTTACTAATTATAACAAATAAGAAGACATAAACATTCAAAATTGGCAAAATCCCAATTCGCACTAATGTGACCTTTGAGGATTAATAAAGATTATTTTCAAACACGAATTTATTACCTTAAATCACGAGTGTAAAATAAATTTCCAAACGTGTTACACTTTACTGACAAAACTATGAAAATTGTCAAAACAATAAACGATTAAAAATAATCTACCTACCTTTTATTATTACTATTTTTATCGTTTGGACAATATATATGTAGTTCATGAAAAAAAATAAAATACTACTGTACTCAATGACTGTCTCCAAAAATATGGCGAAGTTAGAAGGAGGCTACCACAATTGGTATTTTCATCACTTGAAATTAATTTTTGCTACGTGAATTAATTGATCAATAAATTGTCAATGTAAAACAGCTATAACATATTTTTAGTTTTAAATGACGTGTTTCTCTGTAGTACAGATTACTAACAAGTTACTATTAAAGTTTCCAATATGTTACTTACTAACTTTAATGTCACATTACAACCATCCAGTTGCATAACAGTTAGGTACTGTTATTTGTCACCCTATTGAAAAAATTGAGAAGTAGCCAAGCCTTTCGTGAAGTTACTATACTTACTAATAATAAATACTTTAAGATCATCAGCAAAAAGAGAAATAATGCTAGTTACAAGGCCATGTAGATATTAATATAACGAATAGAACGCAGCCCAAATTTGTGCCTTGTGGTGTTCCAGAATTGATATTATATTCTACAGATCTCGTATTCTCAATAGGTCTTTTGCCTAATAAGATTCAAGAAGATTTAAATGACTACACATAATTCGATTTCTGTAACTTATGTGCCTAGCAATAAAAAAGTGGTCAATTTGATAAAAAAAACATGCTAAATTTTTATAGGTAGCTACATGATTTATTTTTCACAAAATCACACTACTTAATAAAAATAACATGAAACATAGTCTACCATTTACTTTTTTTTATAGTTTTTAAAATTATGCACTATTTAAAAACAGGGACAGTATATTGTTATGTTCCAATATATTGCAATCAAGGTAGTCAAAGTTTTTTATAGAATTACATGTTAAAGGTACTAGATCATATTTTAGCTCAATAACGCTAATGAATAAATATGTAGGTAGGTACTTACTACTTAGGTAGGTACCTATTTTCTGATACTTCACTTCACCGAACGAGAAAATCCTTTAACAACACTAGCTTACCTATATCTATGCATCATTGGCTCTTGGCAATTCTCGGTTACATTATTCAAGTAATTTTTCTTAATATGAAACATTTTTGGCCCGCTATACCTACTTATCTAAAAATCTAAAATGACACTTTGGGCACTAAAACAACAAACTGGCAAACTTATAAAATGTTACTTTACTACTGCGTGTTGTAAGCTGTTGTAAAAAAACTATTCTATCCATCAACGTTCTCTTCTTTTTGTTTTTTTTTGTGTTGGTGTTCATTTGTGCTATTTTCAAAGCCAACGTAATCCAGCATTTAATAATAATAATACATAAAGAGCAGCATTTCCCTCATTTAGAGCAATGTGTCGAACATGGGGATATAGCTCAGTGGTAGAGCATTCGACTGCAGATCGAGAGGTCCCCGGTTCAAACCCGGGTGTCCCCTATTTTTTTTAATTTCAAATTAATATCACATTTTCCATTCAATATAGGTATACAATTATTTAATAATACAGAAAGCTTTAAAGTTTCTTCAAATTACGTTTTCACTTTTTCAAAAGTAATATGTCTGTTTTTCATGTTTATCAGAATGTTTTTACATATTTTTCTCAATTACCTAACTCAAGCAAACACAATTGTGAAATGAGATATGTAGGTGTCTGTGTTACAAATCATAACATTGTTTTGATACATAATTTTTAATAGGTCTTTCGATAACAATACAAGCGGAACTAGTATGTAGAATACTATCTATAGTACTAAATTTAAATCACCCGCTTCCAATCTTAATTTTTATTTGTCAACAACCAAGTCTGCGCGTCAATGGCCAATCAGATATCACCACATAACCTTTTTATTAGAGACGCAAAATGTCAATATTTTGATTAATAATAAATGATATTGCATCAGAAAGAAATGGTAGGGTATTCTAGAACATACACAGCTCGGAACTCTCGGAAGCAGTTCAAAAACAGACGTTCAAGAGAAAGGATTACTGTGCAAACATAATATTCAAATATAAACAGTGATTAGTATAATATTGTTGAAGAAAATTATTTATAAATTTAAAGAGTTGTTTTGATAATTATAATGACGGCTAGTGTGCCAGCGATTTTAAAATTTTTAAGTAACAATCAGGATTATCCAATGAATCAGAATATTAATATGGCCCAGAGGGCAAAGAAAAGACGATTGGATCATTTGTCATGGGAAGAAAAAGTACAAAGGAAGTAAGTACATAAAAATATTATGCAAAGTGCAAAGATTGTCGACGTGGCAGAAAATACAATTGAAATTCAATTATTGATTTCTTATTAATAGTGTCATCACCCTTGTGGTATCGGTTTACATAAATATACCAATAATACATATTATATACAGAAGATATATCAAAGAGGGCAACAAATATAATGTTCTCTAAAACCGTAGTTTTTGCTGAGGCTACTTTTTGCTAAAACCTAAAATACCTAATAAGTTGATAGATCATTTCTAATAAATAAATGAGTCACCGGTCAGTTTCTAATTAAAATTTTTGCAGCAGAAAATGTCTTGTTGCATCATACTACTTGGTGTCATTAGTCATATGGGTCATACCTAATTGTGCAATATGTGTGACAGGAATTTAAATATTTTTCTTGCAGATTTTTAGATAAGCAAGCAAATGTTTTTAATATAAATTAACGTTTTTTCATATACGTTATTTACGATAATTATCTGCATTTTTGCTTTAGTGAAAACTCATCTGTACTAAAGTTAATTTGCATTATTTATATGTGCAGGCTTAACAATTTAGATAATTTATAGAACTTCTTTGATTTCTATTACCCTATTGTTCCCAGAAAATTGAAAAATCGCGTGGCAGCACAGACATCCCGTGACCGCAAGAAAGCCAAAATGGAACAGATGGAACAAGCCCTTCAGCAACTCTTCTCGCAGAACGAGGCTCTTTCCGCAGAATGCGAAAACTTAAAAGTCACCAACCAGAGGTTGACCGAGGAGAACGCAGAGCTGTACAGTCGCCTGCAGGCGCCCTGTGAAAACTGCACCCAAAGCCGGACTGTCGAGTGTGAGGTCCAGAACGGATCGACAGTATCCACCCTTCAACCGCAAGGAAGGACCACACACTCAGCAGCGGCTTTGAACAAGCAGTCGGTAGCAGTCTTGTGGAAGATCATACTGACCTGCCTTCTCTACCGGATCTCCTCGACGAACTCAACACCGATGTCGACATTAATTCGCTGGAGCAACTTACGCAGAGCCTCCTTCAAGATATCGCCAGAGACTTGGAGACAGCTGCTCAGAAAACAGATTGTCAAGTAAGTGTAGGCGATATATTGCACAATATGCATTAAGGGCCCCATATTCTTTAAATAGTGTTTTCCGCAAAGACAAATAATTTAAAACATTTAATAACTGAATAATCTAAAGCTTATCAAATAATAGGAATGTTATGTCATGCCACCTGAGTATTTTCAAAGACGCCGCAGTAAAACGAATAAACATGTGCAAAAAACGATCAAACCATCAAGGTTTTAGGTACTGAAATCTACGAAAATACTAACTTTTTTATATATAACTCCACATGTAAATATTCTTATAACATTTACTTGCTTAGTCCTACATATAAAATTGTTTACTTTTATTTATAAGTACGTGAAAATAATTCTTAAAATGTGGGGTTAGAATAACAGCAAACGCATGTTTTACAAACGCTTTTTTTTTAGTTATTATTTTATTTGGGTAAATTTAAATGGTAACAATGAATAAACAAAACATCAAGGATTTTATTTTTGTGATTACTTTTGTTCTACACGTTTTACTTTTCAAGATTTCGGTACCTAAAAATGCCTGAAATTTCACCATTTCTCGGCCAGGAATATGGCCACCTTAAACATATGGTGGCCCAAAAGTCCCTAGACAGTTTTAAAAAGCAATAATTTTTGTCTTATGAATTTTTTTGAAAAATTTTGCTTGAAAAATGATTGACAGAATAAATCGACAAAATAAATCGTGAGATCTAGAATCACATACTTTTTCTAAAGATTTACTTAATCGAAAACATTTTTTAAAAGAAAGGTACTAAGTTAAGGACAGGTCGTGTGAAATTTATTGTCCAAAGAAAAATATATTTTTAATTTTTTGAATAACAGTAACACATTTATTGTTAATAATAATATTGAATATTAGCTATTTATACATGTTTATTTACTTTTAAAATTCGAACAGTTAATGAGGAAATATAGTCTTTCCGAAGTCAGTTGAACATGTAAAAAAACGCCTGGCAATAAAATTTAATGACTTTCATAGGCGTTCCTAAAAAAGTTTTCTGCTAAAGGTGAAAATTATAATAATTTGTATATAATGTGTAGAAAATTTCTATTATATGTTCATTTGGCCAACAACATATTTTAATTTATGCCCTCAAACAATTTTATTATATTGATGGTAAATTTCGTTTAGTTCCGTTTCAAAAAGGTCTCCAAAATGCCATGTAATAATATTATTTCTTCCTTTCGTAATTGTAATATCAATGATTAAGAGAAGGTGCCTATAATAAATTAAAATTACCTGAATCACACCAAATTCCGCATTGCTGCACTGCACTGCTGGGCAATTTGTCAACCACTGAGATTTATTGCCCAGTTGCTCAATGCAGCTGTGTTTGTATTTCGTTTTCCTGCGCTCGCAATCTTCAACTGGGTGTATACATTTCCACCACCTGCACGTTTACTTCGACCAGACCTGTATATGGGTATGGCTAAATAAATATGGGAACAAATTTTTCAAATATTGCAATGCCGAGTTACTGCATCAGCGACCGAACCTGGTACATACTGTCAACCTCTTGGTTCTTCAATTGATATCGGAAAGACTATACTTTGGATATATGTATTGCAATTTTTTTCTTTTTCTCCTGCAATGTTAGATGTTCGGATGCATGTTTACTATCGCTTGCTGAAGATGAGGTTGGGGCAGTGTTTCTGTTTCTGTTTTATACCCATTAATATTATTACGAGTGGTTTTAATTTGTTAATGTTTGGGTGGTGGTATGAATTTAATTGTAAGTTTGGTTTAATGGAACATATATTAGAATGCCCCGTCATTTTTATTAGGTTTGTTTTTCGACACCATGTTGTGAAAGATTGCCCACAACTATGGCTGTTTTAAATTGATTCGTCATTATATTTTTCGTAATATCTCATCCAACTTTTTTGCATAATTTCATGTCCATTTAGAAATCTCATTTTATTTTTATTGATTTTGTTTGCACAAGCTATTTACTGTTTTAATTATTTTCCCATCTCCTTGAACTGTTTTGGAAAAAACTGGGTTGTACTCAATTCTACTTAGAATAAGAAATATTAGGACAAAACTATCAGTTTTCTTTACTTGTCTCAATACCTTTATCAAGTATTTTGATGTATCGTAGCGTATAATTTGTTGCCTTTCCACCTCTTCATGTAAGTTCAACTGCAGTAAATTTAATAACAATTTTCCTGCAGACCAGAGTATCCTCATTAAATGAATTTATTCTAGTTTGGTGTTTTTCAGGCTTTGGAAATTTTCTGTTCAATTCATTTTTCATCATGTACATTTCGTGCTTGATGGAAAATGATATCTTAAAAAAGGATCAATTATAAATTCATAGGTCTTGTAATATTTGTTGTAGCTGTTTTGCTATTATAACATTTCATATAGTTGTCACAACGACTTCTTTCCCGTCAGTTTTTTTCATATTACATCTATTTTGGTTCATCTAAGGCATACTTTTTTCATATAAAAAGGACGAGCAAGTTTCATTAGTGTAAAATTTTATCAAAAGTTAAGTAAAGTTTCTTCAGTGCTGATCGGTATTATGATATATATGATAAAATAATCGTAATTTCTTAATTTTTCTTTTCCCTTTAGATTTATAAGTAAATCGATTCATTAGTAGAAAAAAGTTAAACTTATGCACCTTTCGACCGTTGATTTTCAAAATAAAGTTCCACAAGATTGATTTCTTTGTTCCGTGTGTTGCTGTGATAAAACATCCAAAACAACGTTATTAATTTTTAAAATCGTTCAGAAACTTTTGGGCCACGCTGTACAAATGAAGACAGAAAGCTAATATTTACCCATCGTGAAATAAAAAAAGAGATTAGATGGGATTTATTTCAACAAATAATTGTCTCCAGAAATTTTATATTAACGTGCAATCTTTGCTTGAGAAAATATTGTAATTGTATTATCTTATTAACATACTAAGCAATCGGCTGCCTATTTATTTCAACTCAGGTAGTAACAGTAATCTTACATTTATCCAACGTATTAATTGATAATTTTATCAGTTTAGTTTTTGATGTAAATAGAAAAATTTAAAATTTTATTCAAACGTTATTTGTGGTAAAAATGTGAGAAAACCTCCAAAAAAATGTTTTTTTCCATTTTAATCATGATTATGAAGTGTTTAAACTCAAAAAATGTGAACCTTTAATTTTTTTCAAAAGTTTGACTGCTTGAAACAAAGAAACGGTTTGCTAGATCGAGATGAAACTGCACGGGGTTCTTCTGGCTATATCGAACTGTAAAAGTCATGCCTAACATTAGTCATTTCGTGAATATTTCTAATTTAGCCGACAATTTTTTAAAAAACCATAAATTACTCTTTTATTCCAGTTTTTTAAAATTCATGTAAAAGATAAAAAATTTTTTTTCGAAAAGTTGCTTCAACATGTTATAGGAAATTTATTCCAGTTTTCGAAACTGCCCTTCAATTCTCTGTATGACAAAATTGAAGACAAAAGGATCCTTTTCTATTGAAAGTCCGATATTTCAATGAAAAATGGTCGTATTTAAATTAAAGAAAAGGAAATTGAAGCTAAATAAACAAACTATCTGGTCCATGCAATGGCTTAGCTGAAAAAAATTTTTCCAATTCCATGGATTCGGAAGAAAAAGAAAATTTGCAAAATTTTTTTCGCGCTATCTCTTAGAATTTCATGGTAATCGTAGCTCCTAAAAAATTTCGACCGAAAGATCTAAACACTAGTATCTTAGAGCTTCAAAATGCTTTTTTTAATTCCCTATACGACCATTTTTCACCTAAATACAGTTTGTCAAAAATCACGGAAAAATTTCGGAAATTCATTTGACCCTTTGTTAGTGCAGTTAGTGTAGTATTAAACTTTCTAAGCCAACGGAAGATAATTTTACCGTTTTTATAATTTAGATTCTTTATTTGTTTCATTTATTGATTTGTTGTTATAAACTTTTCCGTTTAAATGATTAAAAACATTGAATCCAATTTTCTAGCTTTTTTGGACACAAAGTTAAATTCTACTTACTATTATTTTTTTTTAAATTAAAGTTTGAAAATGTCTCCAAGTTGATGGTATACCGAAAAAGAAGTATTAGACTATAAAATTGACATTTCTTTAAGGAAGTACAAAAGTTGATGTTTTTTCTTACCTTTGATAATGTCACAAATAAATAAATTAGAAAATTACTTTTTTTACTATCTCCTTGTATGGTGTATGTCTGGATATTATTTGCAAAACATTATATAGTGTGCCCCAGAAATAAATCGCAAAATTTTTGCTAATTTGTAGCAAATATATGGAAATAACTAATGTGCGAATATATTATGCTTCAGAAGCGAGTAACAAAAATTTAAAATTTTTGATAGTTACCTACATGTATTTTAAAAACTAGATTTTCAAAATAAATGGATCAAAATTGTTAGTTTTTGGACCAATTCTATAATCAATTGAGCAATGTTTTAAATTTAATGGAGTTTTAAAGCAATGGCATTAACAAAATTTATTCTGTTATTATTGTCGACATTAGTGTGATTGTGTGGTTTTCTTTTTTTTTGCAAATAGTTTTTCACTGGATTTGAATTGCGAACTATTAGAATAGTTTTTGGTGTTCAAATATTTAATTGATAAATTAGCAGCTGCAGAAAGTAACACTTTTATCTATTTCTAGATACCTTGATGCGCTTTATCTAGATACCATGCAAATCTTGTGTACAAGGTGAAAATTGAAAAATATCTGTATGTTTATCAAACATCAAATTTGGCAAGCGAGCTGTAAATTTGTCTGAAATGTATAGATGAAACCCTGCACTGCACCACTCCATTAACAGAATGAAATTTATGTAATTCTGAATCAATAGAATACGTATTTGATGATTGGTGAAATTTCATTCTGTTAAATTAGTGCATGCGATTGTGTTTGGTTACGATTTGCCAAAATTTTAACCTCAAATGGTATAAACTAGGCCAGCAGTCTTCAAACTTTTACGACTTGCGGAACCCCGCCCATACTTTGATTTTTTTGAGGAATCCCACACCTAAAAAAAATTCGAACACATTTTTTACTGATTATTTAATATATTAAGAGTACTTAAATATAATCAAAGACTGGGATGTGTCTGAATATTTTTACATAAGTTAAAATTAGGTGGTATTGTCGTAAGTTGCAATCACATTTCAAATTCTGCATTAAGCGCATTGCGATACTTTGTTTTTGTCGCTACGTATGTGGAAAATGATTTTTCGCACACAGAGGTTATGCAGAACACAGTTTGAATACTGCTGATCTAGACAATCAAAAAATTTTAATCTCGAGTTTTATTTTCATAAAATTTTGGCATAATCTCGCTCGTGAAACGTCTGCTTTGTTCATTTTGCTTCCTCTTTTCTAAACTTTACACTAATTTTTGTAGCAGGTAATTATTACCCAACCTCACTTTATCACTTTTTCAGGAACCAGTCTGTAATAGACAAGAGGGTCCTGGAGAGGTGGTGGGGACGGCATCAACGGAGCTGGAATCCGATGGAGGTGACGTGTTAAACGATAACAGGAAGTCACTGGAGAAAGACATCTCCGAATACCTTCTTTTACATCACAACTACGCCGCTAAACCGCCTACTCAGAACGCTAGAAAACCGAAAACCAACCGGAGGAAACTGAAAGCAATTAGACCAAAAGTAAACACAAACGTATTGGATAGAAATAGATTAGCCGTCGATTTAAATACGCCCGTAATAATAGCCGAGAATGATGTCAGTAGCAGCGACATCCTTTATGGCACTTACAGTGAAGACTCGAACAGCGTGACGATCATCGTCGATGGTAACGGAATTCCTATTAGCGAAGCCGTTACTGAAATCGTCTCAAAAGATAATCAAGATGCTAGTGATGACACGGTCGCTGCTGTTGATAACAATTTCTTGTCTGTTCCAACAATTCTGGGAAACGTTTCTCCCAGATCTACGAGTAGTTCTGATAACGGCTACGAGTCTCTGGATTCTCCGCAGAGTTTATCAGACTTGGATATCTGGGATCAAAGTGTATCAGAATTGTTTCCGTCCTTATTTTAATTGAGAAAATTCCAAAACCGAACTGATTTGTAAATATTTTATAAATTGTTTATTTTAGGTTAAGGCTAATTTATTTTTGTACTTGATATGTAATTAAGTTATGTTTTAATTTATTTAGCAAATATAGTTGTGATGTAAAGAAGTTATCATTTGTTTTTTTTTTGCTAATACGAGTGTGAAGTTCTGAAACATACAGGGTTATTATTTCAGCATGAGAGAGATAAATGAACAAAAAAGTTGTATATTACAGGGGCATAAGATTAACAGTTTTCAAAATACAGCGAGTATTAATATTGGGGAGTTTCATCACAACGTGATGACAGCACTTAACCTAACGCTACACAGCTGATGCACACGCGTGCCTTGTCCTATGGAAAAAATGTAAACAACTATTACTGTAAAACATTTAGTAAATTTGCAGACAATTGTTTTCCAGTAAATAATATCGATTTCAATTTTGTAGTACGAATATAGTGTTGTGCTTAAATTTTAGCTCGAATTTTAGTAATTATGAATCTTAAAACAGGAACTTAACTTTTAATCAAATTATGAATTTGAAAAATATGTATGTAGGTACTTACCAAAAGTAATTTTTAAATGCACAAGTACAAAATAAGCTACAGCATATGCTCAAAATGTCCTCCACCATTTTCGATGCACGTACGACATATTCGAATCAAATTTTCGCGCACTCGCTGGAAAACACCTCCAGAAAAGGAAATAGTGGTACACAAAAAACACTCCGACACGGTCGAATCCAGATACCAACTGAATTGCGTACTGCTGAACAGCTTAGTACATCGTGTTATCCGCCGCGCCGTTGTCACACTGCCCGATATGGATTTAATCGAATTTTAAATTTATTACAGTGCCAATTATTTTTTAGAATTAACTATGCTGCAGGTACGTTAATATTCCTCGATTAATCGAACTTTTGTACATCAAGTTGGAAATTTTTAATAATTCCTTTTTTGGAAATGGTTGAGTTTAGGACCCATGGATTTTTTGTTTATTTTAATGTATTCTATCGTCTGTTAAAATTAAGGCAGTCAAACTTCTAACACCCTGTACATTTAGAACCTAATCAACTAGGAATGCAGAAGAATGAAGAGGTATTTTATTCAAATATACACCTGATGGTTAAATAATGAATAATTAAGGTGGATGGATTACCTTCAGTACAACTCGCAAAATAAAAGTGTAGATCCCTAGATCTGGGCGAGGTCCGGAACATTTTCAAAATTGAAAAAATATTTAAAAAATCTTAAAAAATACCTATTTTATCTGAGTTTTTATATCTTGGAACCTATGCATTTTGGAAGAATACTGAAGAGGAAAAAAGTTTTAGAATTGAATTTTGCACAATTTTGTAAGTTAAAAATGTATAACTTAAAAAAAATATTTTAATTGCTCTGAGGACATTTTAATTTTGGTAAAAAAAAACTTTAAAGTATAATAAAACAACACACTAAATTTCATTAAAATCGGTTCGATAGTTTTCGCCAAATAATTTTTTGAAAAAAATTTTCGAATTTTCAAAATGTTGCATAGCCTCAAATAAAGCATCTAGATACTCGAAAATTTTTTCACATAGAAAAGACTGCTCAACCTTTCAAATGGTTTTTGAAAAATTAAAAAAAATATTTTTATTGCTCTTGAGGGCATTCTAATTTTGGTAAAAAAAAACTTTAGAGTATAAGAAAACAACACACCAAATTTCATTAAAATCGGTTTGATAGTTTTCGCAAAATAATTTTTTGGAAAACATTTTCAAATTTTCTAAATGTTGCATAACCTCAAATACAGCATTTAGATAATTGAAAATTTTTTCACATAGAAAAGACTGCTCAACCTTTCAAATGGTTTTTGAAAATTGAAATCGGTTGATTATGACGGCCACAGCAAATTTTTAAAGTTAACACTCTTTTTTTTATTTTTAAATTATATTACATTTTATCAATTTGCAATTTAGTTTTTTCCAAAAATTATAATTTTACAGTAATATTTTTTCTTAATTTTATCTGTACTTAACAAAAAAATTAATTTCCAAATAATTTTTTTTTTAAATTTGTTTAAACAAAAATTATAACTAAATATATTCATATTCAGTGTTGAAATATATACGTAAACAAATTCTTTCATTGAAAAAATGCAATAGCATAGGGTAAAATATACAGTATATTTAATGCATAAATAATAAACTTTGTTTATAACAAAATATGTGCAAATTAGGCAGTTGGCATTACGATATGCGAATTCCTTGGCTCGCGAGACATCGGATTAAAAAAAAAAGATTGGTCCATTAGAAGTTGAGATAATGCAATTTTTTTCGTATCTTTGTATTTTGAACCTCCGAATTCAGTCTCGGAGCGACAGCGACAGCTTTTCCGCTGATTTATCTATGTTGCCGATAACTTATGGATATGAAATTTTTTTCCAGCTTAGAACTCTGAAAAACGAAGCAACTGGATCAAAGATTATTGCTAAACTGTTTATAAATGCTGATAAACTTTGACGGCTTATATCTCGAGAACCAAACCAAATTTAACTTTTTTTTTTAAAGAAGCGTCTTTCCGAGTACTAAATTATAATTTTTGAAAAAAACTAAATTGCAAATTGATAAATGTAATCTAATTGTTTAAAAATAAAAAAAAGAGTGTTAACTTTAAAAATTTACTGTGGCCGTCCTAATCAACCAATTTCAATTTTTCAAAAACCATTTGAAAGGTTGAGCGGTCTTATCTATATATGAAACATTTTTCAAGTATCTAGATGCTTTATTTGAGTCTCTGCAACATTTTGAAAATTCGAAAATTTTTTTCAAAATTTTTTCCATAAAATTATACAGATTCCCTGCCATTCTAACGCAGATTTCCTATAAAATGGGAGTTAGTTTGGAACTCAAATTACTTTTTGTTATAAAGAAATTTGTAATTTGCAATGTGAAATACACCGTGGCACAAAAAAGTTTTGGCAGTTTAATGCTCGCTTGTGGCGCGCTCTGGAAGATACAACCAAATCATCGATAAATTCGCATTTCTCATTTCAAAAAACCTACAGAGACCAATTTTCACGAAATTAGCCCCAAGTAGTCGAAAGATATTAACCCTTTCACTGCTCCAGACGTACATATTCGCTAAAAATTTATAGGGCTCAAACTGCTCCAGACGGATTAATTCGCATGAATAGTTAAATTGGATCAGGCTGCTCAAACTGTATATATTCGCAACCATGCACATTAGTGACTCGGTTATTGCAATTGGTAAGGCGAATTTTTGCGGGCGAGCTTATACCGATTGTGACAAATATTTTTATGGAAAGAGGTACTGGTAATAATACCAAGATTGTTCATGTTTCTTTCAGTTTCTATTTAGTACATATACTGTATTTTATTCAAAATAAAATCGTAAAATTTATAGTAAATCGTAATTTACGTAATTTAACACAACGTAAAACTATAAGTGGTCTAACTGCTCCAGACGCATATTCGCACGCGATAAACTTTCGCGCACGGCACGGTAGTTACCTTCAGACGTATTGCGCAGCGAAAGGGTTAAAGAAAATGTTATTTATATTTTCAATTTCAATACTCTGGATCTCGAAAACTAAGCGATTATAAGCAACATTGTATATGACTTTTCCCCATTAATTTTCATCGTAGAATCCAGTGGTAAAGTAAAATATATTTAAAATTATTTAGTTGTGGAAATTTTAAGGAGAACAGAAGTGCTGAAATACATTCGGCCAACCGGGTCGAAGACATCTTGCCTTGACTAGCCGGGTCATAGTGGCCTTGCCTAGACTGCATGGGTCATAGTGATCTTGCCTTGAGTAGCTGGGTTATGGATATCTTGCCATGACTGGCTGGGTCATAACGATCTTGTCACATCTTAACGAAGCTGCAAACATGGTTTTCCTATTTCGTGATTTGACCTTCAAAGAACCTTCAGACTTGACTTCTAGGTCATAGTCAAGGTCATAATCATATGATCCTATCAAACTATAAAACTTTCAACAGAAAAGCATCCGAAAATCTTATTCAGAACATTATTTGACCTTAAAATAACGTGTTAGTCACTTTAACCCATGCAGACATATCTGAATGTAAACTTTTCTGCACATCTAAAAATCCTAGTTGACCTTCAAATGGCCTCTACGGTTGACCTTTGGGTCAAGGTAAAGGTCATCGTCGAAAATCCCCGTTCAAACCCGATAACGTTTGTCTAAAAAGTGCTTTCCTAAGAAGATATCGCAATGCGTTATTTATAATCGGACATCTTGTATATAAAATTAGAAGTAGGGTGCACTTCTATTAGAAGTACAGAAATGCGAGAAGATATGTAAAATACGTCAAGTAGTCATTTGTTTCATTGGCTACGGTATTTATTTGTCGGGTTATAAACGGTTCTCTTGAGTAACAAATTTATGATTTTTATTTGTATATTCAAACAAATTTTACAAGAATTTGTTTATTCCAAAAGAAAAAAATATTTTTACGAATATGTACACTGCAAACCGACAAAAATATTATATTACAGTAATAATCACAGAATATTTTTCACTGGGAAAAATATTATTCCTAATTTGGAGGTAATACGCTTTTTTAACATTAAAATAAATAACTAAATAATTAACGAGTCCAATTAAAAACAATTAAATCCTAGAATGTTGAGACATTGACTGTTATCTAGTTATATAAATAATTATACATAACAAATTTCAATTTATTTCAAAACTAAAAAAAAAATCATTTACGAAAGTACCGTCTGTAAGAAATTTTAATTACTTAGCATTACAAATGAATTAAAACTATTTCAATTGTAGAATATTACAAAATCAAAACTTACAACTCGTCTTTCGATAGCAACGTGTACCTGTTCTTAGAGGGTGCCAACTTCCTGAAAGTACTTTCCGGTGGCGTTGTCGGAATGTTTTCCGTATCCGAATCCGTATCTGGGCCGTAATGGAACTCCCTATGCAATTTCCCAGAATAAAGATCTTGAATGAACTGTTTAAGTTTACCGGGGACTTCTATATCTTTATAATTAGGGAAGAGGTACATGTGCCTGAAGCTATCGATAGCGATGAGAGGCAAGTCTTTCTCACTCTTGCCAAGGTGATGTAAAGGGTGCGCGAATTTCTTGCCGTCAGCCGTAAGGAAGTTGATGGTTTCTGAAAAACAAAAATTCACAGTAATGATTTGCCCGATTTAAATACTTCTTCCGCTTACGCTTTTCCGACAATAAATCAGTTTGTACTATCTCGTTAAACCTCTTGATGCTGTCCTTATCTTCAGGTGTGTGGAAAAGAATCAAGAACGGTAGACCTTCCTCGGTTAGTTCCTCTGCGTTTTCGAAAGTAATTTCCCTTACTAGAGGAACACACTTCTCCGACACCCAAATGTGTAACTCGTCGAAGTTCGTTAAACTTCCCGGATATGTCTCGTCGAGATCATTGGAACGGTCCTTGTCTGGCCTGAAGACTATAATCGGTTGGCCAGGGGGGTGCATCTTCTCGGACGCCTGTTCAAAACCGACGTGGAACTGACAGTCGTCTTTTAAGTTGGTTGCTACTCGGCGGAAGATGTTGTACTCTGGTTGATCTCTACGATCGAAATAACCTTAAAATATATAAAAAATGTATTGGTTAGTGTTGGACGACAATTTTTAATTCAAACAAAATCAATTTCAGTGGTAAATCATGAATATATTTAAAAGTAGTAAATCTAATGAATAATTTATTATAAATAAAAAATAAAAATAATATCACCAGTTTTAGTGGAATAGAGATCATCAATAATTAACAAAAAACACAATTTTTAAATCATTGTCAACATTTCGGTGTAGTTTTACACCATCTTCAGGGCTCAACATGGATGTGTCTATTTTTCAAAACTACAATGTTAAACTTCGAAGGTAATTACTGGATAGTCTTCTTCATACTTGTAATTCATTAGTGAAATTAATCAGTTTACTGATTAATTTCACTAATGTATTACAAGTATGGTAATTTTATTTTCTTCGCTTAGGCAATTAAATTTAATTAAAATTAAAAATTATTAAAATGGTACGATCAATATTACATACAGGGTGGTCCCGAGGTAATGGGCAAAATTCATGGGTAGATTCCCCAAGCAAAAATATTGTGATTTGGCAGAACTTACCTTAGTCCAAAAGTTGATAGTTAATGAGATACAGGGTGTTAAATGTAAAATATTATTCCAGTTTTTTTTTCGTTTATTCCTTAACAAATGCAAATATCCTCACAAAATCTTAGGGTTTGGACTTCTTTAGGTAGATCAATTGAAATCTGTTCACATTTTGGTTAAAGTTCATAGAGGGCGCTAGCTGCAGTAGATTGAATATGTTAAAAACGACATATCTTTTTTGTACTTTAAGGTATCTCATTTTTGGTATTAAATTCTTATTTTCCAACTTTTTATATACAAAAAAGGTATACTTTATGAAAGTAGCTATCTCGCACCGTTTTCGAGATATTTGGCTTTGAAACTTCCAATGCTAGTGCATTAAATTACAAATAAGTACCTACAGGTATTATTAATTTAGCGGTAAAGTTTCTTAAGTAGGATTTGGACGAAAATCAAATAATTGACGTTTTCCACTTGTCTTACTGCTGTCATTTATATGTTAATTTCTATTTAGTATTATTCGTACTTTTGAAATTACATCTTAGCTTACAATTTAAATTGTATACTCGTATACATCAATGTAAGATAGAATGTCGAGATTTTCGTTTTTGGAGTTACATGAAATCAGTTGTTTATGGAGAAACTATAAACACCCGAGAAGAACTTTAGCAGCAGGTTTTAAATGCTGCAAAGTCATTTCGCGTTAAGGATTTATACTTTAAAATAAGACAATCTTTTAATAAACGTGTTGATAAATGTATTGAAGTTAAAGGTGGACATTTTGAGCAATTATTGTCAAAAATGCACATTTTTTACTAATGTTTACTATTTTACTGTTCATTACAATTTTTAATTCTAAATAAACCCTTGTTTTTAACATTTCTAAATTATTTTAATTATTTCAACTATTAGCATTGGAAGTTTCAAAGCCAAACATCTCGGAAACAGTACGAGACAACTACATTCATAAAGTATACATTTTTTGTGTAGAAAAAGTTGGAAAATAAGAATTTGACCTAAAGATGAGATACCTTAAAGTATAAAAAAGTTATGTCGTTTTCAACACATTCAATCTACAGCAGCTGGCATCTTCTATGAACTATAACCAAAATGTGAACAAATTTCAATTCCTCTACCCAAGGAACCCCAAACCCCAAAATTTTGTGTAGATATTTGCATTTATTAAGAAATAAACTAAAATAATATTTAACCCCCTGTATCTCTTTAACTATCAACTTTTGGACTAAGGTAAGTTCGGCTAAATCGCAATATTTTTGCTTTGGTAATCTACCCATGAATTTTGGCCCATTACCTCAGGACCACCCTGTATAACAAAATATTCTATTTCACCGGCTGATGATTGATGGAATTTTTCATGAGATTTTATTCAACCGATCAGCAATTGTATTATCTCGAGCGTAGACTCAATGTTTCGTCATTGTTCATCGTAAACGAATCATTATTATTGATGACGCTAAGATGTAGGGACTTTTAGTTGATAGTACCATCCGAGCAATGTTGGTTGTCTATGCTCGATGGTCACGTGGCTTGCAATCAATCAAGAAGGCTTTGTATAAACAAGAGTATCTAGTTATTATCTTCTGAATGTTTAAAATTATAGTTTTAGTAAAAGACTAGTCAAATTTTGAGCACTGAAGATGATACAGAACAACACCAGAACATTGACAAGGAATAACATTTTTTTTTTAACTATTTGTCCCATAAAACTGCTGATATTGACCAATCAAGTTCACTATTTAAAAAAAACTTAATAAAAACATTAAAACTTATTTTGTCTAGTGTGAAACCAGCCTCGCGTTAATAGTATCTATAGATTAGTAGGTCGCTCTCTGTCAGTCGGTAAAAGCCATGCCATTTAAGATATATGTAAATGTTTTCATAATACTAACATTAAAATATTATAAGTAAGATATATTATACATATTAAATTATGTATTTAATTCCAAATATTTTTGTAAAGAGTTTGGTAATAAAAATAACAATATGTTGCTTAGTAGCATATAATAGAATTTGAGATGTAGATGTTATGAACAATTAAAAGAAAATATTAATGTTTTTCCAAAATAATAACCACAGTAATAGAGTTATCTATAGTATATAATTTTTTTCTAAAATTTATCTCGATATAGATTACAATACTTTAAAGAATTGCTCTATCGATACTTTAGGAACGGAAGTATTGATATCAAATATCGAATATGAGAACCTGAAGTACCGATAAGTACTCAAAAATATGGATATGTATCGCTTAACATTAATTACAATTTCATAATTTTAAATGTCAGCTTTATTGATTTCTCTTTAAAATATTTTAATGACTGATATTTAATTAAATGATTTCATTTATCTGCATTGCAAATTTTACATTATAACATCAATAAAAATTATTTGAAAATAATTGCTTTAATAAATGTTTTTATTTAGATGCACCTAATTTTGCCTCTCATTAAATTAAGTGCTTTTTTTACAATGCCAGTTGATACAGATAAGCAATTAATATAACAGTATTTGTTAAGAATTAAGATAAAACTGTATCTTCCAATTCAATCTGAGATATTATTATCATAATGAATGTGATTCTTTTTAGAATCTCATAAGAGCAGCTATTCAAATTTTTTAATTAGCATATGTTATTTGCCTGTCAAAAGAAGAACAAAAAACATAAAAATTTAAATATTTTACTAATGTTTCCAATTATGACAAAAAGTATTAAATGTTTACTTGGAAATATTTATTTGTCGAAATGAACGTAGCAACACAATTTTAAACAGGAAATTTTACAATAAACATTATCAGCAATTATGTGTTTATCATAAATACCGTGAATTATCAAGTCCATAAATAATATGTAATAATTATGCACTCATTAGTAAACAGATAAGTATTACATTTTCTACAAATGGATGACTTAGAAGAATGGACATAGAATTTTCACCACTTGAGGCTTTAATAGGAAACTACATTAAAATCGTTAAATTCTAGAAAATCTAGTCCATTTTAATTATCTGGTCTATATTTTTATCATAAATTAGGTATATACTTCAAAATTAAATACATTTACAATAGGTACTTAACTTTACAGCACATTTTCCCAAGGTTGATTGTAATTCTTCATAACTTATAAATATTCTTCATTTTGATTGATGAATTAATTTCCATTTGTATCAACTTCTACTATTTAACTTATTTACAAATACATAATCTCTCGGTGCAACATACTTTAATGTGAATTAATTTTTAGGGTACCTATATTTAATAAAGTGAAGCCATAACAAAAAATTTATTACTTTTTACTGATCCATGCACTAAATTTTAATAGCAATTAAACATTTTGTTTACGGTGCGAGTAAAACGGATTTGATTTGATGTTTGCGTTTCTAAATCATAGTGATCATTTTAGCATTTCCCGCTAAATGTAATACGTTAATAGTGACTTACCTATGATTATCCTTTTATTTGACTCTAACTGTCCAAGTTCTTTCAACAGTTTGAATTCTTTGATAGGGTCTTCTAGCTGCTTCTTAATGAAACTTGTAAAAGCTTCGACAGACCTCTGCCCTCTGTATTCCCTTTTAGCGGGCTGTCCATTTCTAATTACTTTAAGCGTCGGATACTTTGTTATGTGAAACCTTGTTGCCACCGAACTCTCTTGGTCGCAATCTACTTTTCCCATAACAACTTTTCCCGATTCTGGAAATTCTTTGGCTACTGCCTCTGCCGCCTCATCAAAGATGGGCATTAATAAGTTACTAAACCTACACCAGTCTGCATAGAAATTTATAAAGACTAATTCATTAGAAGCTGCAACAATATAAAATAAATGTATTTTTTACGCAATGGTAATAAAGAAACGTACTTACCTAAAGTCATGTCTACATTTTGTTGAGTGAGTTGAACCGCCCCGCTATCCGTAGGGTTGTAAAACATACAGGTGATCTGGAAAAAAATAGCATTACTTTAGTCTAGGTTATGTATTCTATACAATCTAAAAATAGTCCCTGAAGAAGAACTGACCTTCAGTGAAACAACATTTAAATGTGCAAATTGTTTTATATTACATAAAAACGCATTTACAATTACAGTAAATCAGGAATCGTGGCAAAGCTTTTAAGGAGATGCGGTAAATAAATAAACGTGAACTTACCATAAAAAAGGTAAACGTAATTGTCTTAGTACTTGATAAACTCAATGAAGTATCCATTGTGTAATTCACCACTTAATTAAACAGTCTCAAAAACAATAATTACATTAATATACCGACACTTTTCCTAAAAACGGTCTTGACATGGGACGGAAGTACCAGCCAAAACGTCATCCAATAGACATTTGACAAATATATTGAATTTGACAGACATACAGTGCCCTCTAACGGTGGAAGATGAAAATACAAAGAAGAGAATGAAATCTGAACTGAAATTTGCCCCCTCTTGCGGTTATCTGGAGACTTATTTTTCACAGGACCGTAATAGGTTCAATTCCCTTTATCTAATAATTTTTAAATATGCATATTGACAAATTAGTTATGACAAGGAAACACGCGGATTTGGTTTTCAAGAATTTATTTAAGAATAATAAATATACTTATAATTTATAATAAATTACTAGAATCTACGAAATATACAAATATATAATTTTAATAATTTCTTTACTATTTTATATTCACAAAATGGAATGCTTAATGGTAAAATACATACAGTAATTATTGATAGATTATGCACACATTTCAAACATGAGGCAAATTGTTGCTTACAGCTAAACATGATTGTATATGACAATTTTAATTAGATAAGATATATGATCACAATAGAGGCACTACCTTTTAAGATCACATGATATGCACGTAATATTTTAAAATAATAATTCTTTGGCTTCTCTTTTGGCAAATATTGGAAAATACATATTTACATAATAATTGAACTGTATTGTGTTCATTTTTAGAACAACGAATATTTTGTCAAGATAATCCAATCAGTATTTTGTTCACAAATTTAAAATTTTTGGAAACTTGATAAAAATGGACACTAAAATATAGACATTAACAAAAAATTAGTACCTGTCCCTTTAAAATTTATATTTATTATTACAAATAGATTGGATTAGCTCTTTTTATTATAGGTAGGTATTAGAGAGAATTAGCTTGCCTCATTTAAATGTCATTTCAAGTGCGTTCTTTATTAATAAATTTATTTCAAGACAACTGAAAGAGTTTGAATTTAGAGAAGAGTACACTTAGAAGATGAAACCTTAGTATTAACAGTAATAATTTTAATTGACAGATTTAACAATTATTTGCAGTACAAAAAGGTAAAAGGGCATAATGACTCTCATGAAATATTTTACACCTAATATTTACACCTCTTCAAAACATACTAAATAAAGTTTTATTTACATATCACCTTTGCGTAAATAGCAAAAACCAAATACTGCCTTTTATTGTTACATAATTCGATCAAGTTTAGCCTGCTATCTTATTCTAACAATATCACAAACCAGTTTAAAACACATTTTGAAAAAAATTCCGCAACTAAGAAGATAATCTGAAGATTCAAAATGTGTTCAATAAAACGATTAACAAATCACATTTCAAATGAGTAAACGGTATTATGAGATATGGTAGTACCAAAACAATAGGGTGTTTGCCAACTTTTCAAATATAAAAACAAAACTAAATAATGTATCAAAATGATAATAATAGTTTCTGCATGAGATCATTACAAACTGACAATCTCAAAAATACAATATATTTCTGATATAGTTACTCTTTTCAATAATGTTTAAATTTCTGTGATGTCTAGCAACAGAAAAAAGTTATGAACAAAACAAATTTTAAGTTCTAGGTAAAGTGCCCTCTAGCGGCGCATAATCAAACTTTTTTCTGACTGGTCCAATAGAGCTTCATCTACTTAGTGGGTGTGTCAAATGAGAGACTAATCGAACTTTAATTAAATAAGCTATATAAATAGAAAAATAAAAAAAATTGAACTTTGACAAGCTGTAACTTGCAAACAATTGACAATTAAAAAAAAAATTTTTCGTTACATACTGCTATTATTTTAATCCGTAGAATCACCTTCCGGAGTTTCCTGCCGGACTTTCAGAACACCTTGTATATAAACAGTTATTAGCGAAATTGTTTATAATATTAACTTTTATTGTGTCAAAACACTACACATTTTTTTATGCAACCACCCCATTGTACTACTTATCTTTTGATGAAATACAACTGTCTCAAAATTTTGAGAATAAAGAATTCTCTTATTGGTGTGTTTTTTATGTTTACCTTCTACTCTCGCTTAGCTGTTTATTGACTTTAACTTTATCTAAAAGCTGTTTTACATTGACAATTTATTGATGAATAAATTGACGAAGTTTTTCATGAATTAATTCACGAATTTATTGGTAAACAGTGTGGTTTTACACTGCTACAGACTTTGTCAAGTTTTTTGACGCGTGAATCAGTTCTACCAACGAATCAAAGAAGCAAATAAATTTCACCTTTCCACTCATAATTGTAGTGATACAACAGCGGTACCGTTTTGACACATATTATATAAATATTAGTGTTTGTAAGTAACAAATCACTAAAAACAATGCAAAACTAGTACGACGCTACACGCAATTATTTACATATTCCAATAACATAACCTCATTACTGATCTGAGGCTGGAAATATGTTGGGTTGGTACTTCCGAACTTCACGAAGAAATTGACGAAAATTAGAACATGCTCTAATTCGTCAAGGACTTGATGAATAAATTCATGAAGTTATTTGACAGCTGATTTGGTGCATTACACTTGTCCAATTTCTTGATGAAGCGACTTCATGAATTAATTATTGATCAATAAATTGTCATTGTAAAACAGTTATAAGAAAAAAAATGTCTGATTAACTCTCTGTAAATGACATTTTTACGACAAACACTTTACTTTGTCAATATTTTATATCAAAAAAGCTGCGTTCTTGCTTCATATTTTGCCGCCATCGCGATTTCAGTTTCCAGATCCTCTAACAATTCCCTTTGTTCAATAAATACTTCGAAATATTTAAGAGTCAATTGCGAAGTGAAAATAAAGATTCAGCGTGTGATATAATCTTTCATGTGCGCATGGTTGCTTTATTCTAAACTCTATTAAAACGCGAATACTATAGAGGACAAATGTGTCGATCTGGCAGCATTATTCAGTACCATTTGAAATGTAAAAGATTCCCAAGCTTTCCTCGTGCTCCTAATCTAGTTTTCGCCTAAACTTGAGCAACGAATTCTGAGGTTTACTCGTGTTGATGGACTCGAAAATTTGCACCCTTCTCTCGTCGCCCGTCCAGAGGAACGGACAGTCTTCCCCTCTAGTATCCTCGGCGTCTTCGACACCCACGTCTACGTAACAGTCCTCACCTTGGTAGTTCAGGAAGCTGTTGAAGTTCGGACTGTTGGTGAGGTTGACCACGCCGTTACCTCGGCCGGTATAGTCGGGAATGCTATGGCTTTTCTTTATGTTGACCTTATTCAACATCTTGTCTGGGTCTAATCCTAAGATCTCGAGTACCTTCCTGGGGTTTTGTACTATGTATTGGCGGATACAGTCGGCCGTTTCGGTCTGGGTCTCCGTATCGGCGTAACTGGTCAGGACAGGGAATGACGACGAAGGGGGCTGCTCCCAGCAGAACATTTCCGGGGGGTGGGAGCTGCTCCGGGCTAGCATGCCGTTTCCGGAGGTGCTGTGGCGGAGGTGGGCTATGTTGGGGTTCGAGTGCGCCGAATAGTTGACGGAGCCGCCGCAAGAGGTCGGCGTCGTCATTTCCTGGAGGGCCTGGATCGCGTTCCGGACCTGGAAAACGAGAAGAAAGTTTTATATTGAATCTGGAGCGTCGTCTGCGTGGGAAATGGTATTTTTAGGTAAAGAAGGTCACGGGGAATTGAACGAAATTAGATCTGTCCTTCAGATGCACTTTAGTTAATATCACTGCTTCCGTAAAGATAGTAATTTTCTTGTTATTCTCATAGACATTGGGCTACATGCATAAAAGCCATTATATGTTTATACAGGGTGAGTCAGATTTAACGTTGCACCCAAAGGTATGTGACAGTACTTTTGAAAATAAATAATATTTGAAATTAACATTTTTCCAAAAGTATTACCTTCTCGAAATATATGGTTATAAATTTGAAAAAAAAACTAATAGTACGATCTTGTATCAATTAAAAATCATTAGCCACATATTTCCAAGGTTTCAATTTGAAATAAAAGATAAAAAAAAAACACACCACAGAAATGAGACAACCCCCAAATCCAAAAGCCAAAGGCTTATGCGGACACTTGAAAAAACGCGGACAAACACCCATTATCCATCGACATTGCCAGTGCAGACACCGGGGATCGAACCCGGACCAGAGTAGGAAGCCTAGCCGAGAAATGCTTAAGATATCTCTTAAAATTTTTCATCTGTCTTTTTTTTAGTTGGAGAAATTTTAAAAGTACCTATAGACTAGGCGGTATCTGTTTTGGTTTGGATGAATCGTATATCCACGGAGATTTTTTAGTCCAGTTGGTAGAGGTTCGGCCTGTGTCAAATCTTGATAACCCGGAAATAACTACACAGGCCTACTTTAAATGATGAATACAATAACAGGCTAATTTGCTGACACAGTATTTTATCAGGAAAAAAGTTATTAACAATTTAATCGTGAATTTATTTTTTTTTAGTAGTTTTCTTTAAATAACTCAGCGGGATGACTTTGTACGAAAAAATGCTTAGGACATGATTTTGTTCGTAATAAAAATAGCTACAAAATGGTGGTGGACGATTGCGAAATTTGCAATAACAAGCCGTGAGATTGAAAAAACGATATAAAACGTCAATTTTTTAAAGTTGCTGTAAAAATGTCAATTATAAACAAAAAGTGATAAAACTTTCGAAAACTATAGTTCAATATATATACAATAATGACGCTAAAGCAAATCTTTTTGTTCTATAAGGTGTTATATCTGAAATTCGAAACTTTGCCAAATTTGTTCGAAGCTTTGCTGGCACTTGAAATTTGGTACACACATAGTGTAAATATGCAGAAACCAAAAGCAATTTGCAAAATTCAAGTATCTTCATTTTTGCAGTTTTTGTAATTTTTTACAAAACATTACTAAGTACAAATCGAATGAATCATGATTATTATGGTAAAAATCGAAAAAATGGGGTTAAAAAACAATACTTAGGGATTTTTTTTTGGGATATTTAAATTGGCTATAGGACCCTTATACTTGGCTCAAGAAAACTTCATGTTATGTAGAATCATCACACCAAATTTCATCAAAATCGGTTCAATAGATTTTCATAAAAATTTTGCAATCCAGATTTTGAAAAAAAATTGCAAATTTTCAAAATTTTGCTCAGCAAAAACCAATGTCCTTAGATACTTCTACTGTATCAAAGTAAGTGCATGAACTTACGTATTGTTTATCAAAGATCAAAAACAAATTTATTTAAATATTCTGAAATTGTTTAAACAATTATTTTCAAAATATGACGAAAATTAGTAATATAATGATTAATTTCTCATTTGCTTATATTTTAAATAATAAATAATATTTGAATTATACTTTAATCACAAAAAAAATATATATTAAAAAAAGAATCTTTCTTTCAATTTCAATATATTATTTCGTATTCGAAAAATACGACCTTGAAAAAAATAGAAACACGTATATACCGTTAGGAAAAGAATCTCTACAACCTGTATATACAGTGTCATTTTTTTAAAACCTGGCATAGGCCAACTTTTTTATTTGAAGTAATAGACTAGTACTTCCAAATGCAAAGTTGTAGGAAATAACTTGATTAAGAAAAATTTACAAATAATTTTTTTCGGTGTTGCCATTTAAAAAAATAACGATTTAGTAGCTACTGCAGAAATCTGGCTTTTTGAAACAGATACCGTCTGGACTACTAGTAGTTTTTTTTCAACTTGTTTACTCTGTGTCTTGAAGAGGGAGAAACTATATATTTTCAAAATTTCTGTCATCTCTAGGGTCCAATACTAAAACTGATAACTTATCCAGAGTGTTCCTTAATTTAATTGTCAAACTTCTACAGGGCATTCCTTGGTCAAAATTAACATAAAGCTCAAATAAACTATGAGACAATTTCAACACCTTACTAAGATATAGCAATTTGAAGTTGATGACCTGTTGATAACAGTTTTTTCAAAATAACTTTTAAATCTTTTGAAATATCAACATCAAATTTGGTACATATTGTTTGCTATAGGTGACTCATATTTGTAGAGGGTGACAAGGAATGGATTACATGGAACTTACTGTCTCTTAAAAAAATGCAAATTTGGATCCTGTAGCATGAAAACATAATGGTAACGATACAAAAATCGACTTTCAGGCTCAGGGCTCAGACCACGTTAATTATACGTTTTTGGGTCGCTGAATCCGAATCCGAGGTTCGTTTAATCCCATCACCTCAGAATTTTTCATAACCTCAAAAAAAAACGATATTCTGAACAATTAAACCATGTAACCTTAAGACTCAAGCTTCCAATTAACTAAATCCCATAAACATTTAACCCAATGATGTCCCAACCTAATAAGCCCATGAACACAAGCCCCAATAACCCTATAACCCCATAACCCCATAATCAACAGAATCCTTTCCTTTGTCAACGTGGCTATACAAAACTGTGCTCCACCTAACTACTTTTTTTATAACATTATATAAACATGAGCTATCCATTTCTAAACACGAGTACCAAATTTAGCAATGATATTTCAACTGGTTTAAAAGATATTAAGAAAAAATATTTTGTTAACAGGTCATCTTCAATCTGTATATCTTCGTAAGAAATCGGAATTGGTCACCAGTTCATTTAAATTTTTTATATTCATTTTGATCAGGGAACATCCTCTAGAGGTTTGGCAGTTCAATTACGGGATATCCGTACGAATTAAGTAACTCAAGTTTTTACTAAAACCTAGAAAAATTTCAGTTCTGTAACTGTCTCTATAACTCAAGTTTCTACATCTCCAAAAAATCACGATGTTTCGAATTCTCTAGTGAAACAGTACGAATTTCACAAAAAATCCATCCACAAACCTCATTGCCTGACGGGTCAAGATATTACCTTAGATCGCGAAAATCCAGACCGGCCAATGTCCAGAAACAACAGCGAAGATCCACCCCGTGAATTAGCGGAGTGATAAAAAGGTGTGATCGAATGTGGGCTCTGTTTATTTTTTTTGCAGATAATTAATCAAGGCAACGTTTTTGGTCAGTACAAACTATGATTCTTTGTATTCACTTTGTATGTGTCCTACTGTAACCAAACCATTCTTGTATAATTAATTATACGAAATAAAATTTCTATATTCAACTCCGAATTGTTGTCAGACCCAGACCTATTGCTCTAATCATCCAGGCTTTCTACAGTCTTGGGGCCGATTAAAAATCCTCGTTAGTTCGAAAACAAAGAAAGTGGAAGGACACAAAAGAAGTGTCAAGCACAAAACAAAAACAAATCAGTGCAAAAAACTCAGTAGAAAGATTCAGTGAAAAGCACCATCGAGGGTGTTAAGTAAGATACACGCTACCGCAATATTCAGTTTGAAAACCATACGGAATGATTATACAAACATAATTTAACATTTAAACTTTTTCCTACAACCCTTTATAGTTATATTGTAACGCGACTCTCGGCTACTAGAAACCATTTTCATGGTGCAGTTGAGATAGGCAACAGGCCTATAAAACACCAGAGAACACTGTTAATTTACGGATAGCGGCAGACGACAACGGACACAGGCTTTATCTGAAGGGAAGGAATGTATAGCCCATATATTACTAGTTTTACTGAAGGGCAAAGCCTGTTGCAGTTAAAACGGTCGATTGGACTGTAAATGTATGGGTCGCTATTGATTACAACTGATCCTAATTCAGTTTTATGTATTCGTTTGGCTATAACACTTTTTCTATTTCTTCAGTTGAATAATTTCGAATAAATATACCACGAAAATATAATCTCATTTATGGAAAAATTACAATAGTGATCCGTACAATTAGTTTCAAGATTCTCAAAGCATCATATTTAATAAAGGGGTAGACTAACAGGTCAGAATGTGGAAAATCCCAAAATTCCATTCAACATCCGCCTTGAACGAATCCGAAACAGATTCTGTCGAAACCCGTAAGCGCTCCGACCCGGAAAAATTCTTCCTGCACTCGTAACTGTAAAAACTGTATCGATCAGTATGAAAAAACATTCAACCGACACCCTTTGAATAAAAATCACAATTAGAACACGCGTATTCGGCATCCAGGTAAAAATAAAACCAGTATAAGATATAAATAGGGTACGTGGAATGGCGTGATTTGAGCGACCTCGTCGGGTAATGGAAAATGGTGAGTAAGGGTCATGGGCAACGGTCTGTGATATTCGTTTACTTTATTTCGAACTCTTTCTATGTTCTTTTTCCTTCGTTAAAAATGGAACGACGGGGAAAGTTAATAATCTCCGGATACTAGGATATCTACTATTTGGACGGGTTACAATAATTGCAATTTGCTGTATTTCTGAAAATTAAAGGAAATTTCCAGAACAGTAGTCAATAGAAACTTATATACAGGGTGTCTCATAATTAGCTGCCAACCCTGAACAGGCCGATTCTATGATCAAAACTAAGTAAAAAAGTTCATATGGACATGGATCCGGAAATGCTTCCTAAGGGCACAGGGACCCATTGAAGAGGGAGGAATGGAAATCATTTTTTTGCAATATCTCTCAATCGCGTTGTGATAAATGAATGAAATTTGGTATACACAGCTAAATTTTGATGAGCAATTTGATGGACTAATCCATTTATTTCCACAAGGTCCATTGGGGTGGGTACGGGGGGGCCCTTGGTACATTGCGTGTGTAACTTTTTCATCTTCGACTTTTTAACAAATTGGACAGCAAATTCCGTTTTCCCGAACTGTTTTACGTTAAAAAGATACTCTTGTTTCAAATCGTTATCTTTAACGGTTTCTGAGAAAATCGCTCTTGAATTAATCCCACTTTGGTCAATTTCATAGTAATTTAAACAAAAAATAATAATAATAATTTAATACGTAATCAGTAATACACATTATTGATGTAGAACAATTATGATATGATGATTTGTTTATGGCTTTTGCGATGGTAATGCTGCGCGGCAGAACGCGAGTACGGCAGAAGGTTTCCAAACAGAAAGCTGACATCAAGGAGGACATTCCTCACTGTATTCCGCAATTTAGCTGCAACCGTCACTTTTCGAAGGGATCATAAGATGGAAACTTAATTTTGATAACAGACAACAAGCTATTTTAAAAACTGTTCAAAAAAACCTCCACCTTCTCTGATACAAAGTCTTGCCCTACGTGTAACACTTCTCGAAGCTATTAAGATGCTAAAACGGTTTTGACGAATTTCATTGGCTGCATCATTGATACGCTGCAGCAATTCCTCACGGGTACCGACTTCGGTGGCGTAAACTTTTTGATTTAGATATCCCCAGAAAAAGAAGTCCAGCGGGGTTAGGTCGAGAGAACGCGGCGGCCAAGCTACCGGTCCGTGCCTCCCTATCCACCGTCCAGCGAAATTTTCGTTTAGGAAATTTAGAACATTGCGACCACTATGTGCCGGGGCTCCATCGTGTTGAAAAAACATGTTACGTCGTAAATTTAGAGGCAGATCATCGAGAATTTGGGGAAGATTTTCTTGAAGTAAGTTTAAATAAAGATTTGAATTGAGACGTTGTGGAATTTCAGTAGGTCCAATCAGAGTGTCGTGAATTATTCCCGCCCATAAATTTATGGAAAACCGTTGCTGGAAGTTTGTTCTCCGAACAACATGTGGGTTCTCTTCCTCCCAATAATGAGAATTATGAAAATTTAATTTTCCATTTCGGGTAAGTAGCTTCGTCACACCACAAAATTTTGGAAGCTTGCTCGTTGTCCAGCGACAAAATCCAGCGACAAAATTGCATACGTGGCGCAAAATCTTCTGGTATCAGCCATGTACATGTCGATAGTGATAGACATGTAGGCCTTGTCGCTTTAATATTATTCCAACCTGAAATGTTAGTAGCACATCTAATTAATTCTGTTAAGGAAATCTTTAAGATATGTAGTACCGTTGGCCGAGGAACATTTATTTGCCTTGAAATGTTCCGTATGCTAGTCGTAGGATCTTGTTCAATAGCGTCAAGGACCTCCGCTTCCCTATTAATCCTGGGACGTCCTTGACCCGGTGCCTCTCGAAAAGTGACGGTTGCAGCTAAGTTGCGGAATACCGTAGGGAATGTCCTCCTTGATGGCGGCCTTCGGTTTGGAAACCTTCTCCCGTACTCGCGTTCTACCGCTGCAGCATTACTATCGCAAAAGCCATAAATAAATATCATATCAACAACTAACTCTTGTCCCGTAAACTCTTCCATTTTTTTCGCTTTGATGATACCTATACCTAACTTTGGTATTACCCTAGATATTTTTTCCAATTTGGTACACGCCTTCCATTCATCGAGATGCATTTTCTGATGTACAAATAATTTTATTATTTTTGCCAGTGGCGTCTGTACAGGTTTTGTATTGAATATTTTTGAAGAAAAATATGTTACGCCACTGCTTTTTCTTAATCCAAAAATCATTTTTGAAATCCTTATTCCTTTCTGAGCAAATGTTTTGTCTTGAATGTTTGTCGGTTGACGGTTTTCGCATAAAAAAATAATATGTATTCATTTGGACCATTTACGAGAAAAAAAGATTTATGTAACTTTGAACAATAATTTATTTAAGACAATAGTTTTAAACTTTGAAATTATGAAATTACAGTAATCTGCATACATTTTGGAATGGTAAAAAAATTACCCTGAACGCACAAAGAAATAAATTATATCAGATGTTGGAATGTTCACCTCCTGCAAAATACTTGTCATTACTCAATTTTGTGCTTACAAAATGTTTCTCATTCAGAAAAACTTGATATGCTTACGGCGAGTCACAAAAATATTCAAGAAGAATTATATCATTCCTGATCATAGAACCTTTACAAGATTGCAGGAGGCGACCTTACGACGAAATGAAGATGCATTTTCTGTTCGGAAAAATTAAATAATTGATCGAAGGGTAAGAAACAATGTTAATACAGCTAGACTTGTTACAGTATTTCGAACAAAATCCACGAAATTCTATACGGTAGGCTAAACAGGAATTGAATTTGGATAAATCAGCCGTTCAACGAATTTTGAAGACCAATGGGTATCATAACTACAAAATTCACAATTTGGAGTATTTGCCTGAGCGTCACATTGAAAACAGATTTAATTTTATAGCTGAAATTGTAGTAAATATAGAAACTGTTAATTAGAACCTTTTTCGGCACGTTCTTTGGACAGGCGAAGTCGGTTTGTCAGTAATGGTTTGCCAAACAGGCGCAACAAACACTACTGGTCCATTGAAAATCCCCGCATTATAAATCCAGTCCAAAACCAAGGCCAATTCGGAGCAATGTATGGTGAAGCATCATCGGTAGGCATTAATTGGGCCTTATTTTTATGAACATAAATTAAGTTACAGCGTGAGTTACCTAAATTTACTACAAGAAGAGCTTCCTTCACTTCTGGAGAATGTGCCTTTGCAGCTAAGGAGAAACCTATGGTTTCAGCACGACAGGGCTCCACCCCACAAGGCCAAGATTGTGCAGCAATATAACACTTTCCCAGAAAAATGGATTGGGCTTAATGGACCTATTCAGTGGCCCGGAAAGTCACCAGATCTAACACCCTTCGATTATTTTTATAGAGGGGTTTTAAAAAATAAAGTTTACAAAACACCTTCGCGAAATATTAATAATTTGAAAGAAAAAATCACAAACGCTTGTAATGAGTTAAACGGCGAAATGTTAATAAAGGCAACCCACAAAGCAGTCAGGCGAAGATTGGACATGTGTCTTGAAATGAGAGGAGGTCATATAGAGGATAGATTGTAATATGTATGTAGTATGAAAGCGTTTGCCTCATTTTTTAATTTTAGTTATTCTTATCGTCACCTTTTGTTTTAACTGTATTAAAGAATTATCGAGGTTAACCCTTTTATTTATTCTTAATGACATTTATGCACTTTAAACAAAGAACATTCAATTATTTTCCAACGACTACTTGATCCTTGTAGTGATTGTCTTACTAGCTGTAGTGATGGTCTTATTACTTATCTTTGCATATATGATTTATTCGTTTTTTGTATGTGAAGCTAAGGTGTCATACAGTAAACACCATGATCCCTGACATTTTGTTGGATTGATATTCATTCCATAAGAACTTAATCTTTCAAAAAGCTTTGTTAGATGTTCGATATGTGTAGTTTCATTTGAGCTTGCTACTAAAATGTCGTCTATGTACACGAAAACAAAATTTAAACCTAATACTACGTCATTAATAAATCTTTGAAATGTATGTGGTGCATTTCGTAGTCCGAAAGGCATTCCAAGAAATTCGTAGAGACCGAATGGAGTTGTTATCGCCGTTTTGTAAATGTCTTCTTCCGCGACTGGTATCTGGTATAAGCTCTAACAAGATCAATTTTTTAAAATATGTTACAACCATAACTATGTAGATTAAAATTATGAATATATGGCAATGGATATCTATCCGGAGTTGTAATTACGTTAAGTTGTCTGTAGTCGCCACAAGGTCGTCAATCGTTTGAATCTTAAAAATATGTATTTACAAGTTAACAAGTCTGCGGAAATAAAAAGTTTATTATTTGAATGATTACTAGTTGTAGTCGCTAATAAGACAATCACTACAATCCTTCCATCGCTAATGTGATTTTTAGGTGGTACCTATTTATTTTGATTCTCTTTAGGACGACATTGCTTATAACTTTTAAACGAGAAGTAAGACAGAAAAAATTTCTCTGATAAAAGTTTATTACAAAAACAGGATTAACAGGAAAAAAATTGGGTATGTTTCTGGAAAAAATATAATTGATGATGTCATTAGTCGTTTCTGTCAAATCTCAAAGATAATACTTTCGATAGAAAATGGAACTTACCTCATCCCATTTAACACCATGTGTCACAAATTATATTTAAATTTTTTATCACACACGTGTGGCGTTTTGATAGGATATTTTAGCTACTTCTACTGCTATAAAATTAAAGGTTTTTTTTGGGTTAAAGATTTTCTTATCGTTCAGAAGACACATTTAAATTGGCATGATGAAAACGACATGGTGAAATAATTCAAGACAATGATCATAAGCTACGTACCTCCATACTGAGAGTGGCTACATCCTGATGCAGCGTCGTGATTTGGTTGTCGAGCCTATCGACGCTATTTCTAGTATTTTCTACGTCATTTTTCAGTTCACAGTTCAATTCTTCCAACGAATTACTCTTCGAAGGCTGGGAAACGACAACGCTTCTTTGCCTTTCCACTCGTTCCCTCAGCATAGCTAAATGATTGGTTGCTATCCCACCCATCCTAGGCCGCCTTGTGATAGTCTCCTGAAATTCCTGCAACCTGAAAAATGTTAAATGGTTAATATTCAGGATAGCAATTTATTAATGAACGCGAAAGATATCGTTTCTTTATAAAATTTACATTTGCATGTCAACATTTTTCTCAGTGTAACACCCACAGACGTCAGATCTCACCTCATGTTTAATTTAGCGTGCCTGGGGCTGTTCGACACTGCATGAATGGGTGATCTGTTGGGCGATAAGGGTGACGTTTCTCCTTCCTCGTGGGCATTTTCGTCGTCCTCGCTGATGCTGGGTAGCGTCAGTGACGGTATGCCGTTGCCGTCAGACTCTGCCTAAAAACAAAGGAATAACGGACGTTATTAGGTTGCTTTGAGCGGTTAATAATATTTCTACCCTTCATTCTAACTGAAAGTACAAACGCAAAAGTCAAATTATTACGTAATTATTACGTAACTTTAACAGATGATATAAAACTTGAATTTGAACAAAAAAAAATTATATCATAGTTTGTTAATTACCTAACCGATATACAGGGTGTCGAATTTAATTTTTTTTGGCCTTTTTATCGTGATATCTAAAAAACAGCCAGAACAGGTGTGGCAATATAATGTTTTTTACTCTGTGAAACAATTGGTGTGAGTGAAAGCAGTAAAGGTACGAAGTGAAATTACTGAATACATCTCCACTCAATATTGAGCATTTTGATAATTTTACTCTTTGTGATAATATTTGAACTAAAAGTGAATATCCAAAAAAGTGAAACAAATTCTCCAGATAAACTCGTATTTGGTGTTCTTGTAGCTAAATCGGAGTAAATGTCCTCATGATTGAATGATCTCACCCCATTCTGTGGTTGTCTTTGTCTATTCTCGTCGATCCAATTAGACGTCGGTTAATTCGGTTATTTTGGTGAAAATTATATTTAAATGTAGTGATTTGATTATAATAATTAAATTAATGATATAAACGGATGGTTAAATTGTTACCTATACTTATATCTGCAAAGTACAATATAGGTTATGGCAATCTATTCGTTCGATCAGTTAACCAATTCTTTTGATCTGGGGGGGGGGGGTAGTGCGGCTATGCAGCCCGGGATGCGCTTTGCTAAGGTGGCCCTTAGGCTAGCGCGGGAGGGGGGGGGGAAGGAGGGGGAGTGTTCGGAACTTTTCATAGTACAAAGTTACTGAGAAAAATTCAACTCATTGTTTTACGTACTCAGAATAGTCAGAAGTCACTCATTTGATAGCAGAAACACGGATTTGAGTAAAATACACTCACTTCTGTTGCTACAGTTTCACTCATAACATTTTAGTTGTACTCATATTAATAGAGTGAAAATTTTACTTAATCGGGTGTGAACAGAAATTCATACATTATTGAGTAAAATTGAGTGAATTTGAGTGAATTTTTTTTACAGTGTAAAAATGACTTAAATGGCTATGGCTACGATGCAAAATCATAACAAAGACAACTTTTACTTCTCAAGAACTGTCCAAATACTTATTTGTGCAATACAAAATGTAACAATGGTAACTTGTACTTCTCTAGAATCGTTCGAACACATATTCGTGTTAAAGGATCCGTATTATTGCAGTATAACATTATGTTGCAACTGTAGAAGGAGACAGAATCAAACTTTCGAACATTTTGATATCTGTCCATAGGCGGCGTGTTCCTAAGACTCTTACACGTATCTATTTTTTATTTTATTACTTTTCTCTTTGAATCTATGAACATTTTCGTCCAATAATCCTGGTTTGAACGAAATATGTTTATATTAGAACCTTTTAACCTCCCTTTTACGTTTTTTTGCGACAATTAAGAATAAAAACAGCAGCGGTCACGGCCCTTGTCACATTTTTTTTATAACCGTCGGATAAATAAGTTGGAGGTAATATTCTGCATTAATTTCCCCACAAATTGGTGCTAGGGCCGCCACTTTTTGCGCTTCTGACATAAACGAATTGCGGATAATGTTCCGCCTAAATAGACGCTAAAAGTGATGTGTAAAACCAAGAATGTCCTAATTCCCCTACTTTGGCGAACTAATTGGATTTTGAGGTACTCAACGATAAATATTGGAGGAAACATATTTAATGAAACCAGCGTAAAAAAGTCTGCTATTGCAAAGTTTATGAAAGGGATAAATAACTTGGTAATTAAAAGGAAGTAGTAGACTTTTTTTCATATTATAAGGCAATCAAGTGGTTCAATCCTCAGTTTATTGAGAAAACTGGGAGTTCCTTCACCCTGGATCACTGTAAAAACTTCCATAAAGCCAGAGATTTATAGCCAATAAAATGAAGAATGTGATTTTTATGAGGCAGGCGGAAGTTGAGTTGTAAATTACGAAAAAATCTTTGAGTTGGAAACGGAAGTTTTACGTTAACCATACACATATAACCTTATTATTTTCTTAAACCACTAATTTAGAAAGGCTGTACTGTCGCAGACAAAGACGGGAAATTCTCAAATCGCGAGTGTCGATCCCTTCACGCTAGTTCGCCACGTTAATTAGGAAGGTCGAAAGCCTGAAGTACCTTTGCAAATGTCCTTGTTTGCCTATGGGTAAATTAGAAGTAATCAGTTTACAGTTCAACGTACAGGGGCACGCGTGATTTCGTGATTTATCAGCAATTCGATTAACGGCAACCCGACCAGTGATTTCTAAATTAACCCCTTAGTGGAGGGGGCTCATGCACTGATTCACTATGGGCAGGGCAGGCTTTAGCTACAAAGTAATATCCGACGAAAACGTGAGGATGGAAAAAAAGCACTTTTAATCTTGAGAAAATAATTGTAGAAACAATAAATATAATATACTAACATTTATATTTATTTATTTATTGGTTCTTACTTTTGTTTTCCAACAGAAAATACTAATTCAATGATGAGAAAGATTTGTACAGTTAAAAAAAGTTCGTAGTTAGTGTATTTTTCATTCAAGCATTTATGCCCTGAAGTGACAGTATGTTAACTTTTGTTTTGAACTTGGTAAAACTTTTACCGAAACTTTAATTTGATGAATCTATTTTTTTTAGTCTAAGGTTGAAGCTACTTAGATTTATTATTTTAAAGTCTTTATCATACAGGGTGTTAAAAATTTAGGCATTCAGTTGTAAAGCTTAGCCCGCCCCTGGTAAACTGAAAAAGCTGAATATGTTTCAAGGACACTATTTTAAGAGGTCCTTACTAGTGTCCATCACATATAAAATTTTTATTAAAATATATTAAATACTTTAAAAGTTATTAGTAGGGAGGGCCTATACGAAAAAAAATTATAGGAACTTGTTATTTTCTCATGTTCTATCTTCACCCGAGAAATTTCCCATATTTTCCCGGACACCCTGTATATTGTGAAAATATTGACAATACATTTTACTGCATACAGTCTGTCCAAGATAAGAAGTTGTGTTTTTTATGCCTAACGATATGCCGTTTAGAATGTTTTAAAATTCCAGGTAGTTCCGGAGATATCCGGAAAAAAACGAAATTTTGCAAAACCCTTTTATTTTTTTCCGGCTTTATTTGAAAACGAATTTTAAAATAAATTGCACATTTTCATTGCCACTTTTAAGCTTTATCCAATGGCGTCAACATTTTTTGCAATCCGACGTTTCGTGTTTGAGGGGCCATCGTCAGGTTATTTTTTTAAATATGTTGCTGCTATTTTTATGACAAAATATAAAGTAATTTTTAATTCTGAATTAGATTATATTACTATTGTAACCGTTTAGAAAAATTTTTAGCTTGTTTTAGCTATTATTTAAAATTTTTCGAGTACGACTGAACGCTTTCAAAATATCTATTGGAGGAAGTCATAACAGTATAAAAGTCAACACAGTACAAAATATCCAACATTTTTTTTACTTCTATTAGCAATACTAATTAGAAATAATAAAACATTTCATAAATTCGTATTATTTTTTTATTAGGTACAACTTTTTAAATTATGGATTAAAAAAATTGTTGGATATTTTGTGCTGTATTGTCGTTTATACTGTTATGACTTCCTCCAATAGATATTTTGAAAGCGTTCAGAGCCGTACATAGGAAACATTTTATACAATAGCTAAAACAAGCTAAAAACCTTTTAAATAGTAATATCAATATCATCTAATTCAGAATTAAAAATGACTAGATTTTGTCATAAAAATAGCAGCGACGTATTTCATAAAATGAACCTGATGATGGCTACTTGAAGAAGAAATGTCGGATTGCAAAAATGTGAACGCCATTGGATATAGCGAAAATGGAAATGTGCAATTTATTTTAAAATTCGTTTTCAAATAAAGCCAGAAGAAGAATAAAACGATTTTGCAAAATTTCGTTTTTTTTCCGGATATTCCCGGAACAATCCGGAAATTAAAACTTTCTAAACGGCATATTGTTAGGTATAAAAAATCTCTCTAATTTGAGCCACCCCGTATCTCTTACCGTTTCCTATAGTAGGATCATATTCGATGCAAAGTAATAAATCATTGCCTGTCAAGGGAACCAATGAAGTACGCTTTTAAGGGTTTTACAAATTGAATAATTTCTTTATATATTATGAAGGGACGAGGGGATCAGTTCAGGTCTGGCACCCTTGTTCCTACAAAAATTCCTTTATTCTCGTAAACTATTTATTTTAAATGTAATTTATTATAAATCCAATTTGTTTCCTAAATTCAACATATGTACTACATTTTACCTCTGTACGCGCCACTGTTGTTTACTTGTTTTTTGGAAACGCTCTCTAATTGACGGCAAAGCTCGCCAGGTTAGTATTTGACGTATAATCGACCAGTTCGTACACTCGATGCACCTGGGCGACTACAGCTACTACCAGAACACAGTGCGTATGCAGCGGTATTTCAGATTTTACATTGAATTTCATTTTAAATTTGAAATGATTTATCTTACGCCTCCTAAAAATGATGACACGATTTTCCTTTGATAAAAGACCGACAAATTTTTGCTCTACTTTGCATCGAATACGATCCTACTATAGATCCTAATGCTATCCCATCCTTATCTTGGATACACTGTATTTGTGTTTTTATTTAAAATTACTTAAAGAAATTAATTGAAGACATTCCTAGTAAGAATTCTTTGTTACACCTTTATTAAATTAGTGCCGATATACTTTAGATGGATCACATATACAGATCTGTTAAGTGTTGGGCGTCGTATCATCCTAGATATGAATAATTTGAGCAAAACAAACTACAAGAATTATATTTATGGGAAAAACTGGAAAGTATATAACGCCGAGCTTAATTTCTTTATTTGTTGATACTTGCTTGCTGCAAAATGATAGGAAATATGTATAACCATATGAAATTAT